CCACCACCCGCCCCCTATCACCTGGACCATCTCGGCTCCCTTGTGCTTCTCTGTGTTCCATCTGCCCTCTTTCCTCTGACAACTCATTTTAAGTCAACCCAAGTCTCCTCTTCCCTCTGCACAGCCTGACACTTGTCCTCTTGGGCAGTTCGCCCCTTGTATATTTATGCCCTCACCAATACATGTACTGTGTATCATTGCCCATCATTCCATTTGAGCCTCTTTCTGCAAAACTCCATCCATCCATCCATCCATGCAGTTTCTATTCTGTTTATCCACATTGGCATACAACATTCACACTCACATGGACAATTTATTGTCATCCATTGACCTAACATGTATGTTTTTAAAAAGTGTGACGACTCTGCAGTACTTGGAGAAAACCCACTTAGAACATCCAAACTCCATACAAAGGCCGAAACCCTAGATTCTAATCCAGAACCCCAGAACTGTGAGCCAGATGTGCTAACTATATGTCTGCTGTGCTGCACTCTGCTAATCTCGAAGAGTAAAAATTGGGAATACAGTGGTACCCCTACTTACGAACGTCTCTTCATACGAAATTTGCAAGTTACGAAACGTCTCAACAGGAAAAATATTGCCTTTTGTTACGAAAGACATTTCAAGATACGAAAGGTAAAAATGCGGTATGGTCGGCTACTCACTGCTCAGAGTTTCCTGAACGCAACATACGGATAGCTGCTCTGCCATTGGCTATTACCGAGAATCATCCTGGCATCCCATTGGCTAAGAGGGACTTCTCCTGTGTGTGTGTAAATGTGTGTAGATAGATAGATATGTGTCGATGCAGCATCCTCGTTATTTGCCCCTCGGGCCATGAGGTGTTCCGCTAGTTTTACGTAAATGTGAATCACCCAGAAAAAGTGTTCACCAGTGGGGTGATCGCTCACTATGCTGATGTTTGCCTTGGACATTTTCGAAGGATTGTTAAAAACCAACAAAAGCAAACGTTCTTGGATCAGTTCTTTGCAAAACATCAGGAAAAACCACTTCTGAGAGACATGGACTGAAGAGGGCAAAAAACGATGAGGACGCAGTTGAAAGTTAAATGACCATCATTTTTATTCTTTACTCTATTCTTTGTGTCTTGCATGTATGTGTTATTTTTTATGCAAATTTTGATGCATTTTTATGCTTTGGGAATCATTTATGTCTGAATTTTTTGGAGGGCTTGGAACGAATTAGGGCATTTACATGGAAAATCCGTCTCTACTTACAAAATTTTCTAGTTAAGAAATTTCTTCCAGAACAAATTAATTTCGTATGTAGAGGTACCACTGTACTACCCTATCCCACCCCTCCTCACACTTTCAACCATATTGAGTCTTACTTCCCACCTCTCTCTCTCCATTGTCCCATTTGCCTCCAGTCTTCAAATCGGATATCATCACATCTCGACCGCGTAGGAGAGAAACACCAGCGCCATTATCTCCCCATCGCGCCTCCCCTGGTTCTCTCATATGTGTGCATTACTCAGATGGAGAGTGGGGCAATTGCGCAATAATCAGATGGTTCAAAGTAAAAAGGGAAACATTATACTGTTTACTGTACCTTTGCGTCTCCCTCGCGTCCTCGCTGGTGGTAGGGGTTATTTGTCCAGTTATCTCCACTCTTGTCAAACCAAGCGCAGAATCCCTCTCAGGCAAAAATGCGCGAAATAATCCCACTCTTGGTCAGAACCATTCTTTAGACATAACAATAGTCGGTGTCCACTTTTTTTGGTGTGTGCGTGTAATTTTCGGTGTCTCGCTCTTCCCTGTACCCGGCTGACTTTTGAGGTTGTCGGGCCACGTGACGCGGTTCAGTCGTATTGAAATAAACGAGGTGCGGTGCCGGTGGCAGCCCGCAGAAACCCAGCGTCCGCTCGAGATCCACTGGGACGCAGTTTATGAGCTGAGAAAACGCCGCTAAATCGGCGCACCGCTGCGTTCGCGGTCATTTACTCTCCACACGAGCTCCCCGCGCCCCCTTCTTTCAATCACCCGTTTAAAGGAAAATATCCAACCGCGTCTTACCCTGGAAACCACCCCTTGGTTAGCCAATGACAAAGCAATGACAACGGGAAAGCTTTGGAGATCGATTCCTTCATGAAGACAGCCGCGTGCTTGCTCGTCGCCTTAGTGGCCCACTATTGCGTCTCGTCGCTTCCAGATCTAAATGCATGGCTGTCCCGACAGCTGAGTTCTGCCATTTGCAGCTCTTTCAACACCTCCGATGGAATGATAACCTCCCGGTGGCCCTCAATAGATTAGGCTCCGCCACAAGGTTATCCAGAGGGAGCTCTCCCAGGAGTCGTTGCCCCTCTTTCCGCCTCATAAGTGACTTTGTCGTGACCCGTTGTCTGCCCGCAGTGTTAAGAGACTTACAGAAAATGTTGAAGTTGCAGCCTGCAGAGCAATGATCCACAAAGAATACTCCCAAAAATAAAATAAAAAATAAACAAATAAATCCCCTTGTAAGCAGCAAAGAACCTTCGCGCGCGGGCTTATCCCTGATCAAATGGGATATGCTCCGACACTGTGAGCATCCTAGATGGCCCCGCCTGCAGTTACTTTCCCACAGTGCGGCTGTGGGCTTTGTCCCAACGCAGTCTGTATCCTCCCCTCCGCGTCCGTCTGTCCATTCGCTGCTGCTGGCGGATTGCGCAATGATTAATTGATGCAGGGCGTTTGCTTGAACGAGTGTGTTAGAACAATCTATCGAGACAAACCAGGAGGACCATATCCAATGTCAAGCAGCAAATGTATAATGTGTGGCATTATGTTAATTTGACTCAAACTTTCGAAGTAGGGGAAATGAGAATGCGTTAGAATTGACATGGTTGGTTATATGGTTTTAACAATACAGAATCGTAATGACTGCAAAATAGCCCCCCTCTCAAAAAAAACAACAATCTGAAAATGGTGCAGCATAAAAATCATGTTTAGTGCAAGATTACATCAACTCCAAAGGGCATCGTAACAATTCTGGCACTTGTACCACTAGGGGCTGTAGATGAGCCATTTTCCTCCACAGTTTTTTTTTTTTTTTTTTTTAACGGCATACATAAAAATGACATTTAGCTCTGATGAAAAGTAATTGATAGAAGTTATGCAAATTAAATTCCACAGTGAGACACATGCACAATAATAGCAGTGATTAGTGCAATCTCCAATACCCAGTCATAGATGTCTACAGATGCTGCATGTTTTTTGTTATTTTTTTTTTATTTTGCCCTTCAATTATCTGATTACAGCTAGACATTGGGCAATTTACATGGAAGGCAACATAATTCTAAGATTAAAGATGACAAAGCCACGAAGGTGATCCAAGATCAGAGGAAAAACAGACTAAATTAGACAAACATATTATGGTGAGTGAACAGCCTCATTTTATCTCATGTGCCACTCAGTCAAACAAATACTTTACGAGTATGCTGATGGATGATTGTGGTAAAATATTACATGCATTGCTGTGTAGGATAAAATTGTAATTACTCTACAACAGCATTGCCCAAATTATTATTGGTCATAAACAACAAAATAGGTCAGAGTGTTGTTTTGATAGCTTCAGTTCACATTGTGGTTTAATTGGTCTGAACTCTTGAGGGAGAATTCATATCTGGTCATCTTGAGGTCTTTAAATAAAAGTTTCTGACCTAAAAGTTTGTTCAGAAGAGATGGAAACAGACCCCAGAGTGGTTTTAAAGGTGACAATACATTCAGGGATACATTGGCCAAATTTTACATACGATATCTGTAGTCATGTGTACAAGTTTGACATCCAAAGTTAACCATTATTCATTCCGTGAGGCTGTCTGATAGCAGGTTTGGACTAACTCAGGTGTCAGTTTCAGTTTTATTGACATCAACAGTAGTGTCATAAACAGTTAATTGTACACAGATTGGCCAGCAATAAATAACGTTTTAACACCCATGTCTGAATAAGTGTTAACATCAATTTACTTATGATTACTGTATGTTTTTTTTAATTAAAAAAAATGACACGAAAATAACAGTACTCACTCCATGCATAATGTAGGATGGATGCCTATTTTTTAATTCGATTCAGTCGAACAAGTGGATAAACGACTTTCCATGTGACAGGGTGACAAGTGCATGTGCAAAGGCAGAGACTGTGTGTGCCCGGGAGCCGAGTCTCTTCACATTAAGACAAAATAGATTTGACTGATTGTCGTCATCTTGGGCACATTGTCGTAGCAGCGGGCTCAATTGGAGCTCATTACTGTTTGGCTCGTTGGTTTCTGGTGGCTACGCAAATGCGCAAGCCATAGCTAAGGGAAGAAGAGTTAGTCCTTAAGATGCTCACTAAGCAGAAGTTTCACAAAGTCCTGTGTGACATTTCTCATAATGATGTTTCCATCTTTGTGCATGAACTCCACGTTGTACAACTTTAAGGACACTCGACATTGTGCTGTGCTGTAACTGACTTCTTGAAACCGATTAAGTCTGTTTCATAGAAAACAGCCCAAGAAAACAGCACAAGAGTTCAGTTTTGTTACTGTTAACAAACGAAGGGGCTGAAGCGTGTGTGGCGGGCGCTTTTCAATAAGAGCACATTTGACTGGAAGTCAGGAAAATACTTGGTAAAGGGAGGCGAAGAAAGCATCCCTCCACCCCCCCAAAAAACAACAACTCCAACCGCCAATTCAGAACTTTGGACAGCTCCACAGCAGGATTCCACAGCACAAGGCGGAAAAGCTTTATCCTCCCAGAAAAAGCCAAAAGCGCTTCTCAACATGCTCTCATCTATTCCTCTGTAATTCCCTTGCTACATCCCTTATACACAGGCACAGACACACAGGCGCACTCATGCATATCTGGGTTATTTCTCTTGGTGCACCTTTTCTCACATTACCACGGCTCACATGACGATTCATCCATGCTTGCTTCTCCAACTAACCTTCCACCAATTGTGTGCCTGTCATAATTCCGCCAGGTGGTGTGATGGTTGGTGTCCAAACATGGGGTAGGAATGGCGGATTATAATCCCGTGTAGGAAGAAAATTTTCCACATGTATTCTTCCTCGGAAATGACTTGATGTCAAGTAAAATGAGTTGCGGAGGAATACTCAACACGTGAACAGGCTGAGTGTCTTTTACAGCTGACAAAATAGTTGATGCAATTGTTGTTGGTCAGAAATGACAGTTTTCGGGACCATTATACCCGCAAACACAAACAATAGTGTCAAAACATATACACATTTCTATCTCGATGTTGTTTTAGGACATTTCTGTAGGAAAGAGTGTCGTTAAAATTCTAGCAAAACTGCGTCCCTTTCAGATATTGCTTATCCATGCAGTACTTTAATGACATTCTTAATGAGTTAACCTCGGGAAATGTTTTACTTTTGGGTTAAAAACAGCTTCCTTCAATTTCCAGGATCCCTCATCATACCCTTTTTTTTTAAAATCTTGCTTTGGTCCAGTAAACCCATCTGCACTGCGTCATACCAGCTCTCTAGTGCTAAGATAACCTGCCATCTCCAGTCAGTGTTCGATTCCGGTTCCGGCCATCCTGTGTGGAGTTTGCATGTTCTCCCTGTGCCTGTGTGGGTTTTCTCCGGGTGCTCCAGTTTCCTCCCACATTCCAAAAACAAGACACATTAACCACCACACTTCTTCTGTCTTGTCAATATAAATTCCTGAAATCCTGGATGTCTAGCCACACTGAAAAAATGGTATGTTGAATTATCAGGTGGTTTTTACACAAATAAAATCATCTGGATCCATATATATTTTTTACATGGATGTATAGTCTATCCAGATACATTTTTAAGTAGTCTATTTAAAAAGTGTGGATACAAGTATTTTAACAAGTATAAAGTAATAGCTGTCGTACAGCATCCATAATATGTATCTGCTCTGGAAACCCCTGTGACAATTTCACTCCGATTAAGTTGCTGCCCAACAGTTTCCAGGGCTCCAAAAATAGTCGTGCCTCCTAACATCTGATATTTTCGTTCCATTCACTGGAGCATGAGGAACTGAGTACTCTGGCAGAGCTGCCTTCCTTCCTGCACTGTATTACACAAGGCACTTTGCAGCACAGGAAAGATATGGCCCAAGACCACCGTGCAAAATAACACCTCAGCGCAGCATGACATTGAACTGTACCGCACAGTGTGAAAAACTATGTCACAGTTAAACACAGCAAGGACAACAGCTTTCCAGATGAAAGGGGAACAACTCCGAATGATCTTTCATAGACTGCTGCCCCACTGAGCTCTCGCTTAAAACGTGGCATGTTAAAGCTTGCGACGGCATGGCACCAAACAGCACAATGCGTTTTTAGCATCAAGCCAATTGAAACGTGGTGGATTTTGTTCATTCCAGACACAGCACGGCTGCCAAATGATTTTGTTTTGGATTAACCAAGATTTACGAAAAACGGCTCGACAACAGCTCGACCTGTGATCGTCTTTGAGCTTGCTAAACATGAACCCCTGGGATTGATGTAGCTTTGAGCTCAATTCTATGCACACCCCTTCCCCCCTCTCCGTCCCTATTAGATCCTAACAAGGTGTCCTTTTTCGAGTTCTTATCCTCAAATACGAGGCAAGTACTTGTTTTCGGAATTACAAATCCCATTACATCCTTGCAAGGTGTCCTTTTTCAAGTCCTTATCCTCACATATGGAGTGGAAAATTTGGTTTAAGCTCAGAATCACGTTTTTGGGGGGATGTAGGAAGCCACCATCGAACACCAACAAAACCCATCCGAGCGCTGGAAGAATGTGCAAACTCCGCATAGAAATGTTCCAGTGTTGATGTAAACATAGATCTCCTGAGTCTGAGGCAAACGAACATGTTGCAGTCAACAAACGAAAGATTATTTTCAGAAAGGTGGTGTGGCTTTCGACTGGTTAGCCCGTCTGCCTCACAGTGCAGAGTTGCTGGGTTCAATTCCGGCTCCAGCCTCCCTGTGTGGAATTTGCATGTTCTCCCCGGGCCTGCGTGGTTTTTCTCCAGGTACTCCGGTTTCTTCTCACATTCCAAAAACATGCATGGCAGGGTGATTGAACACTCAAAATTGTCCCAAGGTGTGAGTGCGAGTGTGGATGGTTGTTTTTCTCTGTGTGCCCTGCGATTGGCTAGCCACCATTCAGGGTGTCCCCCGCCTACCGCCCGAAGTCGGCTGGGATGGGCTCCAGCATGCCAGCGACCCTCGTGAGGCTAAGCAGACTAGAGAATGGATGGATACTTTCAATAGTTTGCTGTGACTCTGTTTATATATTTGGCTGGTAGTAAGTCCATCAAGCCCAGTCTTGAAAACACTGCAACAGTACGGCATTAAAACCAAATTGCAAGATGATGGTGTCTGGTGACGCCTCTTTTTTTTGCCTTTTATATTCCATTCCATTCCATATTATATTCCAACCACAATTTTTTTTTTTTCAAACGTCTGGCACATTGACTAGATTAGGTTGTTCTAAATCAGGGGTGTCAAACTCAGGTCCTTGAGGGCCGCTGTCCTGCATGTTTTCCAAGTCTCCCTGTTGCAACACACTTGATTCAAATGAACAGATCATCAGCAAGCTCTGCGGAAGCCTGACATTGAACCTGTTCATT